CCTTAGCCATCCTTCCCTCGGAGCCAATCGTGCTATCCCAGCCAGCACCCGACCTTGATCAACACTGGCCAACGCCAAGCCAAGGCCATCTTGGCGTTGCCAAACCATCCTGATTTTAAGGGTCTAACATACCTCCCCCACCAGGAGAGTCCGACGTCCTCGTCGGAGGTTGTGAGGCAGCATTGCGACCACGCCAATACTCCTCGATCTTGTCTTCAAATTGCCACAACTTCACATCTCGCACCCAACTTGAGTCTTCTTTGGAATCACCTTCCCATTGCACAAGGTATTCCGTCCGTCGGTTCTTCTTGCTTTGTCCTTTGATTTATGCTCCCAAATCTTTTCAATGCCTTTGTCAAATTGTTCCCGAATTGTTGGAGGAGCACGCTTAAGTTGTTGCCTTGAAGCGTCAAACTCTTCCTTATTAAACCTCTTCAAAAAACTGACATGAAAAGTAGGGTGAACTTTCAACCGTTCAGGTAGTTTTAAACGGTAAGCCACCTCTCCAACTTTGTGCATAACTTCAAATGGACCATCATACTTCGAAACCAAGCCGCGATGAACGGCTTTGCTGCTGATCCTTTTCCAAATCTGGGGAGTTAGTTTCAACATAACTAAGTCCCCAACTTGGAATTGAACATCCCGCCTTTGCTGATCTGCCTGCCTCTTCATCCGAGTCTGGGCCAATGCAAGACTATCACGAGCCTCATCAATTAAGTCTTGTTTGTTCTTCGCGAAGCGTACAGCAGCCGGACATGCTCCACCAACCCTTACAGAAATCTGATGAGGGGTAAGGGGTTGGAAGCCAATTGCCAACTCAAATGGCGTCATTCCAGTGGCACTGGACTGATGTAAGTTATAGCAAAACTGGGCCGAATCAAGTAACTCCAACCAGTTTCTTTGACTCGCCGTCACATAATGCCTCAGGTATTCCTCAAGCAATGCGTTCATCCTCTCTGTTTGCCCATAAGTTTGTGGATGATTTGCTGTGGAGAACTTCAAAGAACTGCCCAACAGCTTGAACAAGGAAGTCCAAAACCGACCAGTGAATCGCGTGTCACGATCACTCACAATGTCTTCAGGAAGGCCAAAGTACTTCACCACATTCCTGTAAAACAAATCTGCCGTCTTCTCAGCAGGGCAACTATCCGGAGCCGCTATGAACACTCCATACTTGGAAAAACGATCAACAACCACCAAGATTGTTGACATGCCATTTACTTTAGGAAAGCCTGAAATAAAATCCATGGACACTGACTGCCACGGTCTCTCTGGAATAGGCAGCGGCTGCAAGAGACCTGCCTCCTTCCCTTTCTCCACTTTATCTTGTTGACATACAAGGCACGTCCGCACATATGCCTCTACGTCATGTTCCATCTTTGGCCAGACATAGTCCCTGGACAGCAATGCCATCATCCGAGCCACACCTGGATGACCAGCCCATTGCGGGTCATGAGTCTCCCTCAGCAACTGCACCCGTAAGTCACCTTCTGGGACATAAAGTCTGCCACCTTTGCCAAACAGTAAGTCATCTTCCAGCCAGTATCTCCGCACGATCCCGCTGGTTACCTGTTCAGCCAACTTTTGGTATTTTGGGTCCTTCTTGGCTACATCACGAATCAAATCCATCATGTTACTTTGCACCATAACCATTGCAGCAACATATTCTTCAACGGTCTTCCGACTCAAGGCATCCGCAACAGAATTGTGCCTGCCCGGACGATGCACCCAATCAAAGTCGAACTCGTCAAGGAACTCCATCCATCGAGCTTGCTTAGGGGACAACTTCTTCTACGTTTTGAAATATGTGTTGGCCACATTGTCAGTCACCACAATGAACTTGGTGCCTAACAAGTAATGCCGCCACACTTCCAAACAATGAACAACCGCAGTCATCTCCTTCTCATGAGCACTGTAACGGGTTTTCGCATCTTTAAGCTTCCTACTTTCAAAGGCGATGGGATGGCTGTCCTGCACGAGAACTCCTCCCAAAGCCCGATCAGATGCATCGGTGTGAACTTCAAAGGGAACACTAAAATCAGGCAACTTCAACACTGGTTCACTCGCCACAGCCTGTTTCAAGTCTTCAAAGGCCCTTTCACATGCCTCTGACCAGACCCATGGTTGCTTTTTCTTAGTCAGATCCGTCAACACACCTGCCCTCCTTGAGTAACCGTCAATGAATCTTCGGTAATAATTAGCCAGTCCCAAAAATGATCGTAGTTGACCAACGTCCCTCGGACTTGGCCACCCTACTATGGCTTCAATCTTCCTCTTGTCCATCAAGATCTCCCCATGTCTGATCATATGGCCCAAGAATGAAATCTCTGAAGTGCAAAACTCACACTTCTCTTTCTTCACATACAACTCATGACTCCGGAGTTGTTGGAAAACCTTCCTTAGATGCACAAGGTGGTCCTCAAATGACTCAGAGTAAACCACAATGTCATCTAAATAAACCAC